ACGAGTAAATTACTGTACATTTTAACGCCGCATACTTATAAATATTAAATAGTCAGTATAACATTGTAAAAAAAGCTTAATACACACAATATGCACTGAATATTATCAGAATTCCCAATATTGTTTCATAAAAGAGAAGCGATATAATGCCTTGTCCCTAGGTTTCGGTTTGCGAATTTGTGCAGTCTTTCTCAAGAATTATTCTTAGCTTAGGAGTCAGACAAGCTAAGGACACAATAAAGCATGCAAGCTTTTAGTATTCGTCTTTATATGAATACTATATTAATTTACAGTAAAAAGTCAACCAGGATCAAAATACATGACACTTTTATCTCTACATTGCCGCAATTCCGAAGTTTTGCGTTGCTCGGTTTTACAAACGGGAAGTGCAAGTTTATGGAAGCTTGTCAATCACTTCATATGAATCAGTTATCAACCAATCAGAGCACTGCGTCCAAATATTGGACGCATGCACCGAATCATCAAAGGGATCCTTGCAGGCTCTCTTTCCCCAGAGAGCCTGCTCGCAGGCTAGTCTACATGTCAATGTTATGATACCACCAAAGCTCCCCATTCTTATACTTTCTACTCGTGCGTCCAAAGCCCTGGCACTTTTCAATATCCTGTCATTTCATGTAACATTATATTATTACATAATTTTATATTACTGGCACGGCCTGGCACGGCCTGGCACGGCCTGACACGGCCTGGCACGAGTAATAGGTCAAAACAATTAACTGGTATTGCAGATTGCACGCAAGCCCAGGTGTAATTAGTTATCACTTTGTAAATAGTAACGAATACTCGTATAAAATTAATTTAATTTTGATAAAAATATGCAAAAATAAAATTTAAAATATTGTTGTTGTCTGATCGAAAGCACGATTCGAAAACTCCCAAAAGCATGCAAACATTTTAATACAACATATTAGGGATGCATGGAAGTCTGGTCCTTCTTTGCTTGCGCCTTGCCCTTGGCATTGCTAAATATGCAAAAATAAATTTAAAATATTGTTGTTGTTCTGTCGAAAGTACGACTCGTAAACTCCCAAAAACATGCAAACATTTTAATACAACATATTAGGGATTTGGCATGATGAGTTTCATATATCATGGAATGTCTGGTCCTTCTTTGCTTGCGCTTTGGCATTGCTGTTAATTAATTCTGTTTCACATTGGAAAGATTCAAGTTAAAGAAAGATTAAATTAAATTGTCTAAAACACTCTAACTTATGCGATTCGTAGCAATGAACTTTGCGAAAATATTGTTTTAATAAATTATACGGGAACATACAGTATTTTGGTATCAAAAAGTATCACATATCATGAAAATTGCTTTTTTTTTAAATTTCATTGAAAAAATCAGTCGCGCGGGCACGACAAGAAAGTTGAATGTAGTTAACAAAAAATGCCCAGGTTAGACAACAACAGAGAAATTGAAAACAACAGAGAGATTGCGGCCGCAATGGAAAATGGCCTCGAGGCGGAATTTTGCGCGCGGAGCGGACTAAATTTTTCTTTGTCTTTTCTAATTACTTCCACCCGAGAAATCACAAGACAAAGAAAAATTCCGCTCCGTGCGCAAAATTTCGCCTGGGAAACCGGCTTTATAGTACGTTTTCCCTCGCGTCCTAGTTTTTCCCCAGCAAACGTCATTGCTGCTCGAGTTGTTGCTGCCGATTTGTAACAAAAATGAAAATTAGCTATAGAAATATTAAAGGTTCAAACTATATAAACTACTGTTGAATGATTGAACAAGTTGAATGTGAGGCCCAATATCACTGCAATATGAGACTCAATAATGGCGGCTACATCCACAGTGATTGCATAGTTATGTGCTGGTTTTGTTATTTTATCTTGTTTTTTTCAGTTCGAAATTGTTTATCTGTCTAGCAACGTCAAGTCACCGTGCTATGCTACGATATTATACTGCAGCAATTCTAAAGGTCCCCACCTGTCCTGCTTACCATCATACCATGCACCAACGAAAAAAATAACGTCTTACCTTAGATGTTTTCGAAGAAACAACGTCCGCTAAAGAGCTTTGAATTTACAAAACGGAGGAGAGAGAAGACAGCAGGTTTCGCCTACACTCAAAGGGTATGTTGTTATAAGAATATAATCGGCTTTTCGCAATTCCCGCAATTTGATTGGTTGTCCAGCTCTGGACCGTTTGTACATGTCACAGACGAGCAAATTGTTTAGTAATTTATTGCATAAGCAGTTAATTCGCCGCAGAGAAATGGCCAAAGTTCAACTTCAGTATTTAGAGGTATTTTTTTAAAACTATTACTAGTGTATATAGTCAACAAAATTATACTAAAAGCCTGCTATTATACGAGAGCTGTAATACGTCCAATTGTTTTAAAAAGTGTAGTTTCTTGGTCATTTTATGCAATATTCAAATCCGATTATAAAGACTGACCTAAAGTCCGCGCAGTTTGATCAGGTCCGAGACGCAGCCGAGTACTGGAATCAAACTGAATGCGAGGACTTGAAATCTAGGCAGCCCAATCTCGTTCCCCGAGCCTGCGATCCTTGGGAAGGAAACGAAGGCTCTGGGATAATCCATCTCAGACATACAGAAAACTGTATGTCGACCGAACTGCGCATGCGTTGCCAAAAGCAAAACAAATTGTTTGAAATATTTTATTGTTTCGTCTATAAAATGATGATTTTTTCGGGGTTTTGGTGGAAATGTTGATGTTCTTCATAGTGGGATACAAAAGGTGTGTTAGCGACTGAATAAAGGAAAATATTGCGTGTGAAACAGGGTCAGTATAGAGCCGGCAGGAGCCGCGAAGAGTGCTGTTGTCGAAGAAAAATGTCACAATTAATTGTAATCTTGTCCATTCCGGCCTCTGTGTCAGTTTGAAAAAGCTTTAAATGTAGAGACATTTGTGGTTTCTCCAGCATAATTTAGCCGTTTAACGCTATTATGTTTCTAATGGTTGAAAGAGCGCGTGGAAAGGGCAATTTTCAAGAACAAAAACAATACAATGTACTGTGTGTTAATTGCTACTCAGCTAGTCAGCTACTGTAATATTAAAATACCTGAAGAGAGTCTCAATTCTAATATTAAGTCGGTTATAAACCTTGATAATATTAAAGTTTTCAGAAGATTTGTATATCAGAGGAATATTAAAACGAATTTAGACTTATAAAACATATCATTAAAAATATGAATATAGTGAATTCCATGTTTGTATTGTGTTATCATCTCTAGAAATTAACAGTTTATAAACCAAATCCTTGTTATATTTTTTAACTGCCCTTATAGCTTTCCTTATATGTTTTAATATTTGCAAGCAGTTTAGTAGGTTAGGGATGCAACAGCACTTTTCAAATTATTGAATTGTAACCAAATTTTGTGTCTGGATAGGAAGTACTATTAAAGATTTACAGTTTGTAATGATAGAGTTGGAGCAAGTTAAGCTGCAATGTGCCTCAGTTTGCCCTACCTTGTTATTTTAAGCTGTTTAACGCCAGAATTTTTTCTTGTTAAGGGGAAAGTATTGGACTTGGTATTTGAATGGGTTAACCAGTCCATCTGCATGTCTACCTATCTTTGGTTAATTATCTCATTAGATCATTAAGCCACAATGCTCTTTAGTGCACCCTATTTTGTTATTTCACTGTACTTCTGGACAGGGATGGATCCAGCATGATCTGGTAGGGGGGGGGGGGCTCTGGTGCCAAGTTGTGTTGGTCATGTGTGCCGCCCGCCCATCAACTACTGTATTTGAATTGTAATTGTTCACAGTTCACTTATCATCATGTTATTACTCAAATTACTGTATCTCATTTTGTCTTTTTTGCTTTATCATGAAAAATAGCACCTCCCCTGCAACATCTCTGGCCAGGGCTAGGGGGGTGCACCCCCCCCCCCAGTAAATCCATCCCTGCTTCTGGACAATATTTCTCATCAATGGCCAGAAATGTACTTGACTTCATGTTGATTACTGCCATTAATTAATTAACTACTGTACTAAATAGGACATTCAAGGTTGGAGATATAATAGCAATGAGGTTGCTAGCTATCATTGTAGCATTCAGGGGCATCACTAGCCCAAATTGTCAGTCATTTGGCAATTTATTGTATCGCAATCAGGAAATTGTTTTCGTGGCCAGCATGATTTGAATTGGATAGGAAGGGGAAAAAACTGAAATATGAGTTTTTGTTGCCCATCCCCTTCTCAGAGTAGGTATGTGTTGTTTTATAGTGTAAATAACAAGTTTTGATATTGCAATCAAACAGACAGGGTTAGTTGTCATGACCATGGTAATAAAAATATTTCTATGGCTCGGCATTTATATTGGGCAATTTTTTATCATTCATCACAAAATTATACCTGCACCCTAGGTGGTTCCCTACAGGGGGTCATAACCAGGGGGAAGCTGATGAAAATGAATTCTGGTATTGGTGGCTGCATGATCACTATCATTTAATACGAATAGAACATTTCTTAAAAAAAAGTATGAATTTATTAAAAATATTTATATGGTCTCCCAATCTGGAATTCATACTTTGTAACATCTGGATCAAAAAGTTTATGACGTTTTCTTGGACAGAATCCAATTAATACAACTTCGTACAGAGGGCAGGGCTTCTTTGAATTACTGTGTGGACAAGATTAACAAAGGGATTGCCAATTTGGCACATTGTGCTACTCAATAAATTAAAATCATTAAATACTTTATGCTACAATTAGCTGTCAGTAATATTATACTGTATATTATTGTGTTTCATATGACATCATAAATTTGATGGGTGGTCAACTCTAAATCGAGACACAGTCATCAGAGGGAATTAATTTTTCACTGTATGTGTTGGCCTTGTGTTTCGTTGCAAATACATGCAATTTCATGTCATTTGCTCACTCCAGTACAACATAAGCACATGTAAGGATGGCTCGGAATGTGTTATAGTCATTATAGTATTTAGATATGTAATTTATATTGTGACGAAGTTTATAAAATTAAAAAAAAATTAAAAAATTAAGCATCAATACATTTTTTAGGTTGACCCCCTGTCAGAACCAATGACAGAACGTGCAAAATGCCATAGTGAAATCCAATAATTCATTATATGTATTATGCACTTATCAATGTTAAGCCCTAGAGGAGGGGGGTCAGGCATAGGTGGGGCATTTGATTTTTAGAGCAAATTTTCAATCAAATGTCCCACCGTCGGGCAATAAATATTAGTCAAATGCCCCACCATTTTGCAATAAATAGTATGTTAATAAAAGTCATTTGGTTCAAATTGCCCCAACTCGGGGCCAAAATGCTATTCAAAATCCCCAGGGTGGGGAGCAATTGATGATTAAATACCCCACATATACCCGGCCCCCCCCGACCCCCTCTGGGGGTTAACATTGATAGGTGCATTAGGTGTATGCAGACTGGAATACCAGTTTAATTTAACAACTTTAATTTGGCACATAAAAAACTGAATATTTACATAACTTAAACGGACAATTACATTGTACAAGAAGACGAGGAAAGTGCCAAAAGTGGCGAAACACAAACGAGACTATGTCCCATGCAGGGTGCTCACCACTAGACAAGAAACAAAGACAAGAAACAAAGACAAGGAAGATTAAATGAAAAGACTAAGAGAATGAAAAGGCAGAAAGAATGAAAAGACAAAGAGAGAAATGTTAGATATTTTTTATTGAGTCGTGATAAGTGAGTGTGAACTAGGTAAGTCAGGAGTGTAGGAAGTACTAGTGAGGTGGATGTAAGTCTTGCGCAAGTATGACTTAAAAGAGGAGACAGTGACATAACAATACGAAGGAGCAGACGTACAAACATAGTTCCACAGTTTAACAATTCTAACACAATACGAACTTAAAATATCACTGCCTGTGAAATTGTGGTTTATTTAGCGAATAAAAGTTTTTTGAACTCTTCAATAAATAAATTATAACAGCAAAAGATTCATATGCACCCATATAGGGAAGGGTTACATGCTACAAGTTAAAATGAGTATTACATACTCCTGCACTTGAAAAGTTTACAGTACAATATATACATTAAAGGTGATCTACAGTCCGATCTGCGCATGTGCACAAATGAGCCCACTTTTTATGATACAAACAGTTTAACTATGTTTTGAGTTCTTGAAAAGCCTAATTGTTGTTTGTTGATCATTTATTATACTCTAGAAGCTTGAAAATATAAATAGTTGTCGAATAAAGCTCAATATTTTGGACACAAAAATGTAAACAAAGGCTTTGTTTACATACGGACTGTAGATCACCTTTAAATAATAAAATATATAACAGTATAAATCCCAAGATTGGATGTATTGAAACTAGTTATTAGCTAGTTCTTCGCAATAATGATAACACAAAGACAAATTAATAAAGTTATTAACCATTTCTGACACAAACAGTATTTGCAAAATATAGCACATATTCGATATTATAGTCAAATAGAACAGTGTACTGACAGTACGTATACTATGTATAGATTAAAACTACAGAAAACCTGTACAACACAAAATATGAGTAAAGTTTTCACGCTCCATTTAACTGTTGTGATATTATAGGCATTAAGTATACGTTTCTTTGCATTTCCTTTGTAGTATTAGTATATAGCACAGCTCTGAAAAACCAAAACAATATTCGTACACTCCTAAACGGCCGCCATGTTGTATATAAAAATATACGGTTAAAAATTAATTTTTGCAAAATTGCAACATTCCATTGTATACCAGCAACCAATCATATTCATTTCTGATTCGGATTATCCCAGAGCCTTCGTTTCCTTCCCAAGGATCGCAGGCTCGGGGAACGAGATTGTAGGCAGCCGAGTTGGAGGATTTGAAATGACCGTCTCATACGAATAAATCACAACTGAAAGTGAGGTGAATTAATTTTTATCCAGTCCTATATAGTATTATCATGTGAGAAAAATAAAGTATAGTATGAACTAAGTACAACCTCGTACCCAGGATAATGGAGAAGCGTTATAATAGACATAATAGGCCCCCTTTACACGAGCCCGGGCTGATTTTCAACCCGGGTCAGCACGCCACAGGTGGTTATTTTTTTATTCTGTTTACATGAACCTGGGTTGACGACAATTTTTGCCAACCCGGGCTGGCTCGGGTAATCTTCCGAGCAACAGACTGGAGCAGAGTGTATTTTTGGTGCTTACATCCCTTATACGATTTATTTCCCTTTTAGTTTTGGATGCTTATATATTTTATACGATTATATCCCTTTTTATCAGGGATTTAGCCGTAGCAACTTCTGCCTTAAAGGCGTTTTCTTCCTTTTTTGATAGCTCCTCGCTATCTTGCACTGGCAGATCTACTGGACCAAAATATTCCAACGCCAGACCTTCGCGCAACTTCGGAGTTGAAATCTACATTTTTATAATCCATCTTCGTCTTATAATCCTTCAGAGAAACGATTAGGTGATCAACCATACTGGAAAGTTCGTAATTGACACGCCGAATATTTCCGCCGACTGTTTTCTACCTTCATTTTATACGCCAAAGCGTGTGATATTCTTACGCCAAAGACCTAAACGGCTAAACTGACGAAGTCTATTAAGTCTATGAGTTTAACAATTAACATTGTAGCCCCCCCCCCCCAAAACAAAATATGAAAATACACTACGTATAGTAGTATACATAACATAATTATCTGTAGACTACAATACACTGACAATGTCAAAAGTACATGAAATATAAACGATGTTCTACAGTTGGATCAAAGTACATGAAGTAATGAGTAATGCAGTGATTCCATTTTCAAAAAACATAATTTCCTTCCAAACGTTCAAAATTTCCTTAATTTTGAAAACATTTCCTTGCAATAAGAATGATTGAATTTTACCTAATTTAAAACTGATTTTATAGTAATTTCTGTAATTTATCTCAAATAACAGGGTATTTCTTGTTCTAGAAGAAACATAGACGTTACAGGGGCTGGTTTATCAAAGGGGAGAGACAAAGTGTTTACATAGATTAACACGGAGGAGAATAACCAGGGGGGTCTGGGGGTTCTTCCCCAGAAAATTTTCAGATTTTGCATCTCGTAGGACAGGATTTTCAGCATATTTTGAAGCACATTTCCTTGGCAATTGCCGTATTCTTAGGGTTTTTTAGAAATAAGGCAATTTCCTTCACATTTCCTTCAATCTTCCGAAATTACCTTCAAATTTCCTTCAGATTCGAATTTCCTTATAATTTCTTTGAACTAGTTAAAATTGTCTTCAAAAAGGAAATTTTCTTCAAAATGGAAGCCCTGGAGTAATGACATAACGATCGAGCGCAAAATTCGAATCGTGTTTTTAAATCACCGTGTCCGTATGTTAATAATAAATAAAGGATTAAAAGAAACTTTCATTCAATTCTTAATTTCCCTAATCCTTATACATTTTACATTTACGGGTTGTGAAGTTGGATTAAAGTACATATTTTAGACTTTTACGCCAACTACTTTTGAGATGATCTGTTCACGCCACGCCAGTTTGATATGGCCAAATAAACAGGCAAAATTACGCCAATTTTGGCGTAGTCGACTAAATTATACGCCGAATATATTCGGCGTAACATACGAACTTTCCAGTATGGGTGATCAATCATTTCAGATGACCACTGAAACGCAGGTCGAGCACTTTTTTCTTTTGGTATAGGTCCCTGTCTATTGGACCGTTTTTACTTGACATACTGTATGATTTTATATGTCTGTACCAAGCAAACAGACGGAGAAAATACTCGCGCAAAATGTTGAAATATGATATGACGCAAGGTGCAAAGTTCACAATCAGGAATAAACCAACCCGGCTTTACATGAAGAAATGAATAAACTTTTCACGTCGTGGAAAATAACGAATTTTCGGAAATTTTGACCTATAAAAGGGCTAAAAACAGCCTTTTCGAGTGCAAATGGGGGGTTTGTCGGAAATTTGAAAGTTTTGTCGGAAATTTAGAAGGCTTCGCCCCGGAAAAAATGAATTTCCGCCACTGTTTCACGTCTTCACACCTCGCCAACCCGGGTCGACCCGGGTCTCGAGAAGGGTGCCCCGGGTTGGCGAGGTGTGAAAGGTTGACCCGGCTATCGTGTAAACGCTAATAGAAATTTATTCGTAGACAGATTAAAATTGGGGGCCTGCCACGCAGGCTAGTTACAATCACTCAACATCGACTCCGCATGGACGTATAGCCTGCAGCGTAGCAGGTGTTTATCTATATCCTACAATTTGGAAAATCTACCAGGCATTCTATTTCTAGTTTTTTCTTCCCTCCTCCCTCAAGATTATTTCAATCTCGGAATTAAAATAGTGCCGCAAAAATTCAAATTGAAAGCCTATATATCATGCAGGCTGCATGATAAATCCTTTTCACTGATAACACCGCGGCTTCATGCACTAAAATGTAAGGGTTCCCCGTGCTTTTAACAAGATCTATATATCTGCATTTATTTGATACATAGATTGCATTCAGCACCAAGTGAAAATGTCATGCAGCAAGGAAATTCACGCTCCACGAAGGTGGGTAGAACGGCACAAGCAAGTACAAGTGCTACCTCAGAATGCCGTTGAAAAACTTATCTCCATGAATGAACTTATAGAGTTAGTCATAGAATGTGGGTTGTGTGACAAAACCAGCATCAAAAAAATGTACGACAAAATAAATACCTATCAATTTATGTGGTGTATAGTCGACACTATTCCTGCAAGTCAGTATGCTGAGGAGATTTTCAAGAGCTCGCTGCATTTTCTATGTGCTCTGTTCCTTGTCGATGATGCAGTTGAAAGTTACAGCGCAAATGAAATGCAGGATCTGAGCCGATCCTATGATATTCTGGAGAAAGAGGTATGCAAAACATTCCCAAACTTCCCTAGTATCAACGAAATGAAGGAATCCCTAATGCATCTACGCAACCCGTTTGATAGATCATCTATCACTTTTTGTATGCAGTATGTTAACAAGATTACTGCGATTCTTCTTGAAGAAGGCAACACTCCACATCATGTAGTATATAACCTCAGACGAAGAACCTCTAATGCAATATCGATTGCTTTTCAAGCTGTGCTTATTAAATCAAAATGTGGAAGCATTATTACGTCTCATGAAATGTTATGGAGACGTGTTTTCGACGGCCTTGTCATTTTGTTTTATCAGTTTGGAGAACTGATATCTGGTGCAACCGAAACTGCTCAACAACATATCACTGTTGTGACAGAGCTGCGCATGCTCGGATGCTTATACTGTATTGTTATCAATGACTTGTACTCATACCAGCGAGACAAGCTTGCTTCATCAGACAACATGATCAAAACTTGGCTTTTGGAAAAGACGGTTTCCAGTTTGTCAGAGGCAACCGCTAGATGCAGTCAAATCCTTGATGCAATCATGAAATATATGTATCAACGTGTGGAGCAATGTATGCAAAGCAATCCTGGTTGTCCACAGCTTGAATCTTTGTTAGAAACCACGATTTACACAACAGTCGGTTGGATCCGTTCCCATACAACAGTCGTTCCAAGATATTCCGAGTCACAATTGAAAGTTGCTCTAGTTGAGGTGGAAGAGAGAGAGCTACCCAAGTGGTTGGCTGAAAAAGATGAGTACGGATGGAATGTTGTCGAAAAGTTCGTGGAAACTCTGAATGATGAAAAACACAAAGGGATACTGGATGCGCTCCAAGGGATTGCTGATGGACGTGATCAACTCCTGAAAACACAATTGGACATCAGCTAAATATTGGCCAAAAATGCTGCTATATTGTATAAAATGTCATCAGCTATTATAGACCTCTTGCATGATGACGTCATGTAGCTACAACTATAGCAGAATTAAAACACTTTATCTAGTACTTATAGAGTAATAACCTTGAAAAACATTCTTTGTATAATGTCCTGCAAATAAATAAAAGGTACATGTTGAACAATTGGCCAGTGTTCTTCCCCTTCTTTTCATCAAGGGAAAGAATAATAGCTGACAAAATTTGGTAAGAGATTAGTTCAAGTTATAATATTAGCGTTTATACTACAAAGAAATATTTCAAAACAATTAATTAATAACAAATATATGTGTCTAGTGAATTAAGAAAGGTTAATCGACTCATTGGGATAGAAGTGTCCGCAGAATAGGGGATAATGACAGTAGTATTATATAATTGTTTTAGTATAATTTCATAGGTGATTATTTGGAAAAAAATTTTAAAATGCACATTTCTTCGTCATTTAATCGGTCAGTATAATCTGCAGACCGCAGACTGCAGACCAAGTACAAAATGCAGAATAGGTATAAATTGCAGACTGAAATTGCAGACTTGGTATAAAATGCAGACTGTGAAAAAACATATATTTTAATATTAATATGTCATACTGTCACGAAGTTCAAATTATTTACAACTTCGAGTTTGCGGTTCATTGTCGATGCATGTTAATGTATATAAGCATTGTATGCTTCATATAAAAAGGTTTAGAGCGATTTTCAAAATATTTTAGTGAAAATTATTGCAAAATTTAAGCACAACAAAATCATAATATTACTGCTATACAGATAGCTATAGTCAGGCGTAAGCGGGTTTAGTACACATTTGTCATTTAAATTCGAGGATAAATTGTTCTTTCTCAAACTTATAAAAGTCATTCACTACACAAATTTATTTTTGTGACATGGTTTGTTGTTTCTTTTAGTTTGTGTATCTGGCTCATTTTAGTTCAATATTCTTTACTCGTTAGGTATTAAATACGGTTTAAAATGTCTTAATTTTGCTTACATTTGCTATATTTAGCAGTTCTCACAACTCTCGTGACATAAAACTGACATTTGAGTCTTAGATTATATTTTGGTAAGTCGCATAATTTTGAAAACGGGTGTAATGTGTAGTTTGATACGTTTTTTTCACAGTCTGCATTTTATACCAAGTCTGCAATTTCAGTCTGCAATTTATACCTATTCTGCATTTTGTACTTGGTCTGCAGTCTGCGGTTTGCAGTCTGCAGATTATACTGACCGGTCATTTAATTGACAAAACGGCTTCGGCCGCCATTTTGAAAATCGCTTAGGTAATTATCGCGTAATAATCACCTCAACGGCAACCAATCAGCGTGGAGAATTTTCAATAATCACCTATTGAATTATACTAATAGATATTAAAGAAACAATCGACTGCATCTTCAAGATTTTGGAGTTGGAGGATGAGCAGGGGTAAAAACCTTATGTTACATATAGGGGCAAGGGTATTAAAACTTTATCTAAGTTATCTTAGACTGATATAGGGGTGAACACCTTATGTTGGATATAGGGGCAGGTGTAAAAAAGTTATGTTACACATAGGGGCAGAGTTATAAATCTCTGTAGTAGTTTAAGATAAGGTTTAAGATCATAAGGTTTATACCCCTGCCCCTATATGTGACATAAGTGGGACGAAAATCTTGTTCCGTTCTCCTGTCACATAGTTATCTTCGTCAATGTATTTTTTTTTGTATGGTGACAAATTCAATAAATAAGGGACCGGACATTAATTACAGGGTAGGGGGGCTGGTGGAAAAGGTGGGGGGTCAGATACTTTTGTGCATGAAAAAAAGGGGGGGCCAAAAAATTTTGTGCAACATAAATACCAGCCCCGCATGACCCCGTTATACCATAAAAACCTACAGATAAAAATAGAGAGAAGTAGAACTGTAGTAAACTGATTTCAACCAATAAACATGTACATTGGAACAGCCGTTGACTCAATAAATGGTAAAGAATATATAAATTACAATACATGTATATTATATAGAGCATAGTTACCAACTCTCACGGATCCACCACGAGCATCATAGATTTTACTAAAACCTCATGGTGATCTCACAGCTTGTTAATATCTCACAGATTCTCACAGATTTCAACAACATGGTTTTGTACATCTAAAGAAAAGCTACCAAAATTTGTGTGTATAAGGTATAGAAGACTCTGAAAATGCCATTTCCAACGCGATCTAGAGACTCCATATTTTCAAAATTTTTCTGCTCGGCGCCAACTATGGTATGGCGCCTCGTGGGCCCCCCAAAGCAAAATCTCACGGATGTTTTTTTACCAACGTTGGCAACTATGATAATATAGTATGATTAAACTTGGCTTCACTTTATAAGAACTTTAAATTACGAATGTGCCTTTTGTTATTTGCATGGTGGGGCGGGGGGGTCAAGTATAATTGTGTTATCCTCAAGGGTGGGCCAACAAAATTTTAGCATCTAAGTTTTCATTTCCCCCAGCCCCCCCCCCCCTCCCCTGTAATTAATGACCGGTCCCTAAAGTGTTCACCCCTGCCCCTATATGTAACACGACGATCCATTTGTCCACAGTACTCGCAAATATGGGCTAGTTTGTTAGTTTGTAATTCATATATTTTGCTAAAAAGCTTTATCGAATATTCAATAAGTTTTGGGGTATTCTTACAAATACAAATTGACATATAATGACTTGGGGGCGAAACGACTTGGCCTTGGGGCAAATCGACTTGGGGGCAAAACGACTGGGGGCGAATCGACTTGGGGGCGAAACGACCGGATACCGTCTATAAACAATCCCAGTAAATCGCTGCCTCGGCACACGATAACGTCCTCAGCTCCATAGTCAAAGTTCCCTGTGTATTTACAATGTTAAAGAGCAGTATTATTCGTTAATTTTACAGTTTTACTCGTCTTGTATATTATAAAAGCCATCGTGTTGAAAACAAAAATTTCTTCACTCCTTGCCGTAAGCCCTTCCTACTCCCCCTAAGTTAGAGTTTGTCGAAATTTGCATGCGCGAGCCGGTATGCGCAGTGCAAATTTTTGTGTCGATTTATGGCAGGCATCTCACGGATCTCACCAAACTTTTTCCCACCACCTGATTCCTCGGGTGAGATGCCTGCGGAGGAGGCTAGATAAAATCATAAAAACAAGCATATATACAATCGTGGGTGTATATTCTTCTATAATCCCCCCCCCCCTGGGGTAGGGGAAAAGAATTAAAGGGTCTTAGGGCTAGGGAAGAAAATCACATATTGGTGTCCTAGCAATAAATTTATGCCACAATAGTCCCTAAATGTTAGATCAAAAATGTAGTGTGAAATATGATAGTGTGATGGCCTCGTGTTGTTCGCACAATGTATGCTTGTGAAAAAATGTTGTATTTAATAAAACTGAGAATAAAAGATAAAAAACTCACTTGTATATGTATAAATGTGAACCTAAGAAATATAAGTGTAAGTGTAGACTTGTGGAACATAAAATTGGAGATGCGTGTGTGAAATTGTAACGGAAAATATCCTGTTCTGTGGTGTAAAAAATTTGATCAGACCCAAAGAGTATGATCGCGCTGTACTAAAAAGCTTGTATGGAGGCATGTAAAATATATAAAGCGAGAGGAGATAGTCATGTGTGTAAAATTCAGTATCCCTGTACGCGGTGTTTCGTCCTTCATGGACTCGTCAGCAGGGATTGGGGTTGGCAATTGTGTGAGAAAGACAGAATATAGAAGCCGATTTGGAATAAAGTGAAAAAACATAAAAATTAGCAATATGTGCATATGACTATTGTATAACGTAAAATGTAAATTGTCTTACCAAAATCGTTGTCGAGTTTGGTCAATAATTATTACTATTAGGTACAGGCCTTTGAGGCTGATGTAGTAAAGATATGGGGAAAAGAATCAAATCTGAAAAGAGGGGGAAGAACCAAAGTTCATTGAAGAATATACACCCCTGTATACAACAACTATACAAATACTGCACTGTGTTTATTGTTCTTCATACCAGCAAAAGCAGTGTTACATAATTGAGGTCCATGCCACAGACAAGTTTTACAGATTACTATTTCTTATGCAAATAACTCCTATATATGGTTCTATAAATTGAATATTCAACATATAATACAACTCCCAATTTGAAGACATTTCTACAAAAATATCATATATTCATATAAAATATTGTAACATTTAGTTCTGTTTCCACTCTCGTTTCAAGGAACCTTCTTCCTGCTTCGTTTTAATGTCTTCTCTTTCTCGTTCTTTGGTGGTGGATCGATACCAGAATCAACATGGCTCTTGTATGTCCTGGAAAGACACAGTTATGAAAATATTTTATTGCAGCGCTCTACTTATCAACTGAGCTTCACAGAGCTATCAAAACATTCACAACTCATCTAATCATTTACATGCATCAGAAGACGAAAATCGCTCTATATCATTGCGCTAATGCTTGCGTTGTCTGCCTCGTACCCAGACGTCTCTTTAATACAATTTCGTTTAATATTATTCTCTCGCCGCTTTTCCATCTGCTTTTCCTCTACTTTCCTTTCGCTCGCTTTCGCGTTCGCGCTGTAAGAGACCAAGAGACGCTGGTGGAGGAGGCAGCTTGCGTTGTAATGATGACCAGGCTAAACATGTCTTTTGTTTTAAATCGAATATTAAGTTTAACATGTATAATTTGTTGCATATTAACTGATACATCTCCCTTTACAAGATTTACGCAAGACGAACAAGCTACAGAATGAGGGGGACATTGGGATTTACGGTATGGCGGGTATTAGCTTATTTTTCTTACGGTATTTCGGTAGTTTCCTTGAAAAATTGTGGTATTACGATATTGGAAATCTTGCGGTACACGATATTTGCAATTTTGGACTCAAAAGCTGCGGTAATTGACAAAATTTGCTTGCGGTATTACGGTATTGAATAGCCCCCCCCCCCAATGCCCCCCTCCAGACATAGTTACATGTATGGTTGGGGTACCAATATTGAGAAAGTTGCATATTGTTCCGTCTATAAAACGATTGCATTTGAGCTTAACATGAGCTCATGCGTGACATTTACTGTATAGTAGTCCTTCACAGACGTTCTCAGGGTTGGAGGCTTGGAGCCATATAAAGAAGTCTGGGAAGGAGACCAGACGTCTGTCTGGAGGACCGCCTATACTCAGTAGAGGTAAAAATGGACAGATTACTTTATTATAAATATTTGCTGCGCCAGTCTATACAGTATCTTATGCCATAAAGAATTATTACGACCTGTATTTTCCTTTGCACAGTACTCTATTATGTTCTTACTCTTTGTACGCATCAGACTTGAGACTTTCAAAAACGTGAGTATTTCCAAGTATTAACTGATCTTGTATTGCTTGAATCCAAGAATTTCCTTCTGCTTTGAAAACATGTCTTGCTTCACCAAGTTGTAAATTACCTTTTGGTTAAAAGAAAAAAAAAAGGTTTTGTTACAAAATCCTTTACCAGCGCATAATTTCGCGAAATATATAGGATGAAATACACTCCGAATATTAATGAGAGGCAAATCACTCCTAAAAAGTGTACAAGATTATAAAATCATACGATTATTTTGTGATTTTTTGGTAATGACTAATGTTTTTATTTCGATTTTTTTCATTTTATTAGTTTATTTTTTGTGATTTTTAAAATTTGTTTTTATTTCGACTTTAGGGAAAGTACATTTATTACACCGAGGGGGGGGATGAAGATGTCTTGAAAAAAGCTCATATTTTTACAGGGCCCCTGTTGAGGTTATCGGTAAATTTCGATGCCCCCCCTCCAAGTTTTTAAAATTTTCAATGCCCCCCCTCTAGAATTCGGAATCGAAGGAGTACAATCCAGAATTCTCTCTTATCATAGATACAATTTGCAGTTCCTCAAGATGTCTGATATACTCAAGCATGTGCTTCTCCTCAACAAAACTACCGATCTGCTGCTTCTTTCACCTCACTAGCGCCAGATGAAATGGCACCGTCTTTAAAACATTTTAAATTGGCTCTAGGGGTGAAATTATCAACAGGTTGTTGTTGTCCATCATTCAGCGTATTCGGAGTCTTGAACACGTTCATGTAGTGGCCAGGATTTCCTGGATCAGGGTAATGTGCTGGAACCTTACAGAATGTCGCCCCCACCCAAGTGTCTCCCGGCATCTGTTGCAAATGTCTTTGTATGCCTGTCAAAAATGCATGCAAAAGTGCCATTATGCTTCAATTTCTTTAATTTCCATTCCGTTTGTACGAAATATCCCATAAACATAGAACACATCATTTTTGCAAATCGTATATGCTTTTTTGTTTTTGGAACTGCTACTTTTTGGCGCGTAAGTTACTTCACAAACCTGGCGCCAAAAAATTTAAAATAAGCTATAGGTGATTTCATGTATCCATTTAGAAGAGCAGACTAAGGATATCTTAAAACTGAAATCGGTTTCGAATACAACCATCAGGGACGTAGCAAAGCATCTGACGTTTGGAGTGGGGGGGGGGATGTCAGAGGATTATACGTGTAATAATTATAATAAAGCTTTTTGTGATTGATTGGCACTCTTATACTAAGTTTTGGGAGAAAAGGGGGGTCTGGGGGTCCTCCCCCAGAAAATTTTTACATTTTCGAAGCTCTAGGACTGAATTTCTGGCATTTTCTAAAGCTAATTTCGCAAACAAATTGCACGTAAATTGACTGTATTTTACAAAAATGGTTATCATTTCACAAAAATAATTACTTTATTACGCAAATTTTACCTGAAACTGATGTAAAAATTTTAACTTTAATTTGTTGGGGTCAAACCTTTGAAAAGTTTAGAGCCCCCCCTTCAGTATATCAAGAAGAGCCCCCCCTTTAATGCCAGAAAATATTTCGGAGCCCCCCCTTAACATCTTCATCCCCCCCCCCTCGGCATAATAAATGTACTTTCCCTTAAAATAAATTACTTTGAAATACAGTATTAACTCCTTTTCGACCGACCCTGTGAAAACTATTGCAGATCTGCAATAGTATTTTGGAGGTTCATATCTTCGGTTCAGTACATGCTACGTAGATGAAAATACCACCACTCGATTCAGCGAAATAATATTTCCTGATTTCTAGTGATAGTTTTAGTCAAACACAAATATTATAGCGATTTATGACCTTTGAAGGCTCGAGAGGTATCATATTTCAACAAATTACATTTTTGTTCTAAAAATGTAAACAATGTAGCACTAAAACCATGCCTTTTGCTGGACACAACTTTGGCCCCTTCGAACGTGTGTTTTTCATTGTAGTCTTGTTCGATTCACAATCAAAAACACTATTTACAGTGTTATTTTGAGGCTTGTATCCTCGGATTTTCGTCTTTTATTTTAATATTTCATTCTGTTGCGATGTTAGTGAAGTCAGCGGGATATTTTTTGACCAGAAATGCGATTTTGCAGAACTGCAATAGTATTTTGGAGGTTCATATCTTCGGTTCAGTACATGCTACGTAGATGAAAATACCACCATTCAATTCAGCGAAATAATATTTCCTGATTCATAATGATAGTTTTAGTCAAAGACAAACATTATAGCGATTTATGACCTTTGAAGGGTCAAGACGTATCATATTTCAACAAATTACATATTTGTTCGAAAAATGTAAACAATTTATCACTAAAGCCATACCTTTTGCCAGACACAACTTTGGCCCCTTCAAACATGTATTTTTTCTTGTAGGCTTGTTCGATTCACAATCAAAAACACTATTTACAGTGTTATTTTGAGGCTTGTAGCCTCAGTTCTTCGCCTTTTATTTCGATATTTCAATCTGTTGCGATATTAGCGAACTCAGCGAACTCAGCGGGATATTTTTTGACCGGAAATGCGATTTAAATTCGCCAAAACATCGCGTGTTTACATCTGGTTTACATCCTAGCGCTCGGGAAACGTCGGAAATCGATTCTAAAGGTCAAATTACATCTGCAGCATGATTTGCACGTGCATCGGGCTACGGATACTTCTTATTCGCCAATTTTAGCGTGTGGCACGCGCGTGCGAGAAAAAACAAGAAAAACCCGATATTTTTAAAAACTCAAAATAAACATTTCTACTGGCTGTATTCAAATGAAATTTTGGATATAAAAGCGCTTGAATACAAGTAATATTTCACTCTTATTGATTTGAGCCGAACTCTGAAGAATTCACAAGTTATTTACGCTATTGTGGAAACGAAATTCCGAAATTTTGGCCAAGCGGTGAGTAAATATATGATTGTTTCGGTTTGTGTAATGCTTTGACAGCATTCGACCCCCCGTTGAAAAGGTTATTTTATTAGGATTTCAATGGTATTCCTTGTTTTAAAGGGGGGTGAATACGCGCTGAGAAATTTACGTTATAAACAATTGAGTTGTAAAATCGTCAAGATGTCGCTTGTCGATAAAGAGTTAAAGTCGAAATATTACAGTTTCACTTTAGTTACAGTATAAGTTTTGTTACCCTTGCCCTTGGGCAACAATGATGGGCAGAAAACCAAATTTTAACACGTTCAGTCAAGGCTGTTTTCCTATACGATTTGGTTACAATATGGTTGATTATTGTTTTAACTTACTTTTTGCAAAATCATGCTTAAATTAAAACTCCTCGCCTGAAAATCGACAACATTTTTAGTGGATGATCATGAAACGTACCTAACGATGGTGGAAGAGCTGTCAAGCGATTATTTTGAAGATGTAATTCCTTTAGATTTGTGAGTTCACCAAGTTCTTCTGGTAATTGCACTAAGTCATTATCTCGTAATACCAACTGTAAAAGAAATTGAAAATAGTTCCTTTGACATTGTTTACTTGCACTACCAGGGGTTTTTTCAGGGATTTTTTACGGCCGTAAAACGGCCCCAAAAACTAAATCTTGAAAATGAAGTTGTTTGAGTTAAATTCATGACGTGTGCAAATTAGTTTTCAGTTGAAAACCCGAAAATTAAGAGAAATATGGCTGGAATTCATTTCACAACACAAGAAAAACAACACATTCGCAATCCTTAATTAACCAGTTTATAGTGTCCTTTAGTGCCCCTGCTTTAACACATTGCATCTCAACTACACTGAAGTGGGCAGGGAGGGAGTTCCAGACCCTCCCCAGCTGTTCAGCTAAACTCAATCTTCTCTGCAAAAACGGACCCAAGAGAAAATCCTGAAAAAAACCCTGACTACCTGTAATTGTTACTGCTAATATACTGCAACATAGTGGAATTCCAATCACCAATGTTTTGCGTAAGATCATTCGCTAGAAAACTACGTCAAGAACCAGCAATTTAACTGAATTAGTGAATATCAAAGGCAATTCATGTGGTTCCTCCAGAACGACATTTCCTCACTGTTCATAACTTACCACTTGTAAATTTTTCAACTTTCCAAAATCTGCTGGCAACTTCTCAAAGTCATTGTCACCAAGATACAGAGCTCGTAGACTATCTACAGCAAGCCATTATGACAAAACAAAATCTTTATACATGTAACATGCATTTCACAATCATGATAATTAGTACTCAGTAGATAGTACAATCATCATATATTATTATTTTTATTATACAATATTAGATACTCCCAATTGGGCTTTTCAGGATCTAATTATTACAAATATGAAATTCTAAATTCTAATACAGGTAGTGAGTACATTTTTAAAACGTACTGTATTAAGGATTTTTACAATAGTATAATAAATTCACATTCTGAATTCTAGCATATGATTGTGCAACTACAATGGTACAACAGCATACTTACAGTACAGAGGCCATCAACAAATACTTGTACTGCAGATACATGCAGTACCATCATGTTTAATTAACAGCAAATTGGCCGCTAAAACTTTAATTAACCTTCTCCCTCATACAGTGGCATTTGTGTGAAATGGAGGAAGCAAAACAGAAATGGATTTTAGCAAAGATTGCAATGTCTTCGGTCAATAAACTTTACTTGTGAGATTTGGTGGTGCCACCATTTATGCCATACTGTAAATGAGTGTACATACCTGCTAGCAGGAAAAAATTTGCAGGAAGAGAATTTTCATTGAGGTTGTTGTATGTTAACTCTAAAATTTCCAGGCAAGGCAAGGAACCAAGACCTCGAGGCAAAGAGCTCAAACGGTTAACCCTGTTGTAAGAAACATAATGGTACAATACTGTATACTGTAGTATACAAACAATAAAGATGTATAAGTATAATTATGAGTATAAAATTGATTGAGGATACTAAAGAATAAATTGAATGAAACATGAGATTAAAGTCAGATAACTTTAAATTTGACTACAAGTATGACTTGATGGTATAAAATATGAGTACTGAAGATTTGCCATTTTTGTATTAACTGCACTTTATTTTGCTGTCAGCACTGCCTGATGTTTGTGATATTAATGATTGTTTGATTGTATTCATAGCCCTACTCAGCCAATATCTAACCATAGGAAACATGAACAGTATGAATAGTAGGCTTACCCAACATTCAAAAATTTCAGTTTTGATAATGTAGTTATTGATGTTGGAAGTTCCTAACAAGATAATGCAAATGAATCAGTTATATTAGAATTGAGCTGAGGTAGCAATCTGAGCATTTCTAAAATGGATATTTTGTCTGCTAAGTACCTGTACTATACATTATTTATATTTTCATCATCATTCATACCTCAATAAAATTGTTAAACAGATTCAAATGTTCCAAATTGTACAAATCAACAATAGAGGATGGAATTGCTAAAAGAAAGTAACAAACACCAACTGATGCACATGACCAAATCTCTCAAATGAGCAAAATTGTCTATTGAAGGTGTTCAATAGTGTACAGAGGCTGTAAAACAGGGATTGAACTGGGAGGCAGGTTCTTCATTTCACACTTTAAAATGCAGTGCAGGAAATGCCCATTACTTGAGAAATGAAACCATTGAGATGATATTCTTCTTTACTGTTACATGAGACAGTTGCCTGTCGATGTACGGCTAGTGAAAGGAATCCAGTCCAAATAGCAATCAGACACTCTTGGAGGAATATTAGCAGATCCTAACCCTATTATTAACCCGAGCTTTTAATTAAAACTAGAAAGAAAACATTTCCTAGAAAAAAGTTCTTCAGCAGGAATCAAACCCACAAGATCATGCACCACAGCTGCATGCATTAAT